ATGGGAGGGATTCAAAGAAGGAGGAAGGGATTCAGAAAAGGATGGGAGGGATTCAAAGAAGGAGGAAGGGATTCAGAAAAGGATGGGAGTGATTTAGAGAAGGATGGGAGGGATTCAGAGAAGGATGGTAGGGATTATCAATGTTGATCATTATGAAAACTGATTATATTTAACTGTGGTTTCTTTACAAAAGTGACTTGCGTATTTCTACTGCAGGAAAACATATTGGAACACTTTAAAACCTAGAAAAACGACAATATCTTTCACATTCTTGATCAGATAAAGGTTTCAAGGTTACCGTTATGAGTCGGGCCTTGCCATCTTTGCAGGGAGGGCCACTTGAAATAACGCTTACAATCCTTTTTATTTGTCCTGCAAGGAAGTGTACCTTTTCCGTATCCTAGTCTGATTTTGCGGTTGACGGGTAGGGGTGGAGATATTTTTGCAAATTGAATAAAACTCATGAATAATTTCAGGTTATGGTTGAAAACTCTCAACAAACCTTCTCCCGGGAAACTCTAGTTACTGTCAAGAATAAAAAGGTTGGTCAAATCTTAGAAAATGATGCATGAAACCATCACCTTCCTTCCATTTAAAAATCAGAAAAAAACCCCGAAACCTCAGGGACTATCCATCGATCCCTGCCTAACCTAACCTGAAATAGTGCCGGAGGTTCAGAGTTTTTATATTAATTCAAAACTGAAAGGTAACTGATTTTCGTAAGTTTTTTTTTTCGGAGATGGATTATTAAAGTATCTGCAACTGAACAACGATTTTGAAAAAAGAAGCCATCTTGCAAATTCACACCTTTATAAAACATAAAGGGTGTCCCACCAAACATGAAAATTGAGAGACGAATCAAAGATGTTCTTTTATCTTTAATTTTTATCCAATTACAAAATGACTAAAACAATAAATTTTTGAAATTTCACGGACAACACCAGATATTTCAGCTAAAATCATGATTTAACACCAAATAATAATAGAAAACCTGGGCAACGCAGGGCTAGTATATAATATATGCATTAGTTTTCAATTAATTGGTTTACAGGGTGTCCCACGAAACATGACAGTTGGTGAACAGTTTAGAATGTATTCTTCCATAATTTGATAAGTTGTTTGATACCAAAGACAATAATAAAAATAGTCATATTTTAGTAAAATTGATTTCAAAGTAAAATTTATTTGAGCAAAATATTTTTTTAAAAGAAATAACTGCAAAAAGCCTTTAATAAAATACAGCATATTAAAGACGACGTTCAAAACTATTTATCAACTGACATGTTTCGTTGGACACCCTGTACCTCAAGAAAACCTCCGGGTGTCTTTACACTCTCCTCTTTTGTGGGGAAACCTGGTAGTTTACACTTGCAGGTCCGAAGTAATAAATTTTTACAAAAAGACTAAACGTTTTCTGCAATTTATTTTCGAAGTCTGATCCTGTGTGTGTAACTCTTTAAATTACAGTCGGCGTCGTATATGTCAATACAATAAAGACGACTTTCGATTTCAACCAAGTTTTTAAACAGCATGGATACACAATATAAATTGACATAGAAACAAAGACAGACTGTCAATTAACATCTTGTCTATGTTTGGTTATAAGCTTATAATTAAAAAAAGCGGGTTTGAAATTAAAACTTAAATATAAAAGCCGTCTTCATTGTATTGATATAAACGCCGAACGCTGTACTAAACTTTGTTTAGGTATCCCAGTCCAGGGATAGTGATAAATATGTACTTTACAAGAAAGCTGGAGGTAACGTTACCCTAGATTGTCTCGACATGGAGGGAAGGGATGGAGCCAATATATCAGGAATACCAGTCTGGAGAAAGAATGGAGGTAAATAGATCCAGGATAAAGGTCTGGAGGAAGAATGGAGGTAAATATATCAGGTATACCAATCAATATCAAGAATACAGGTCAAAAGAAGGAATGAAGGTAAAGATATCAAAGATTCAGGTCTGGAGGAAGACGGGAGATAAATTTATCTTTGATACAGGTCTGGTGGAAGAATGGAGGTAAATTTATCAAGGATACAGATCTGAAGGACGCTTTTGAGGTATATATATCAGGTATACCAGTTTGGAGGAAGAATACAGGTAGAAATATCAAGGATACAGGTCTAAAAGAGGAATAAAAATAAATATATCAAAGATTGAGGCCTGGAGGAAGACTGGAGGAAAATATATTAAGAATTCAGGTCTGGAGGAAGAATAGAGGTAAATATATATAAGATATAGGTCTGGAGGAAGAATGGAGGTAATTCTATCAAGAATACAGGTCTGGTGGAAGAATGGAGGCAAATATCAAAGATTTAGTTCTGGAGGAAGAATAGAAGTAAATATATCAAAGATTCAGATCTTGAGGAAGAATGGAGGCAAACATATCAGGTATACAGGTCTGGAGGAAGAACGGAGGGAAATATATCTGAGATATGTGTCTGGAGGAAGAATGGAGGTAAATGTACTATGGATATAGGTCTGGAGTTAAATATATCAGGGATTCAGGTCTGGAGGAAGAATGGAGGTGAATATATCAAGGATTCAGGTCTGGATGAAGAATGGAGGTACATATATCAGGGATTTAGATCTGGAGAAAGAATGGAGGTAAACATATCAAGGATACTGGGCTGCAAAAACGCTATAATAATAATGATAATGCCCGCATAAAATTCTTGAATTTATTTTGTGTATGTAATGGAAATATGTTCTTTTAGGCACACTTTTTGGAAAATATTTTTGCACGATTGAATTCGCTGGTTTTTAAAAATATATAGACAATTTATCATTTTTCGTGCAATTTTTATTCTTGACATTTTTTACTGAATTTCTGGATTTCGCATAAAATAACTGGAATTTTTGGAAAGTAACCAATTTTTTGTTGCAGTTTTTCCCAGCTTAGGCTTGCACTATTTACAGTGAAAGAAGACTGCACTGTGCTCATACTAATGAAATTATCAGAAATTAATAATTTTAATTTATCATATCAGTCACAAAAAAAATAACTGGCATTGAACTTTTCTTATGCCGAACGAAGGTTTCAAAACGGTTTTCGTAAAAAATTAATAAGAGTTTTTCATGCATAAAATTCTCCCGTTTCTTTTTTTTGTACAAGTTTTTGTAATGTTTTAGAAGTTATTGTTGAGAATGGAACCCAGTTGAAACTTATTAGGGTTGATAAAGAAGATTCAGGTATCAGCTAATTTATAAATTCATCATTTTTAAAGAAAAATGCGAAAATGCAAGAATGTGAAATTGCGAAAAATAAAAATTTATTCAAATAAATTGCTAGAAATCTGTTTTTCTTTTAACGAAAATTCCCTTTTTTGCCGTTGTTGCAAAAACTTAATTTTTAATAATATTAAAAATTTTAATATTAATTTAAATGATAATAATAATATTATTTGTTGAAATTTTTAAAACGAAAATATCAAAATATAATTTTAAATAAATATATTTTAATATTTAATATGAAAATATTGAAATATTTAATAAAGATATGAAAATTTAAATATTTAAAGTACATGCAAATGTACTTTAATTTTAGTGAGAAGAACTAAAATCTGTAAAAATACAAATTTATTTAAATCGTTTGATTTCTATCGACACTTCTTTTAAACAATTTTCAACACTTAAAAATCCCACTTCTTAATATTCAGTTTCAAATATACGACATAAGCATTGTTTTAAACCGATAACGATATTTGTGACGATAACGTTGAACTTCGTTGAAGCATTTAATTCGAAACGTTGCTTAGGACTTTTTTAATATTTAACAAATCCTTAGTATTAGTGTAAAATTAAATATCTAACAAAGACGACTTTTATCCCGCTCTAATCTTAACACTTCATGATACAATATATTAATAATACAGTGGTACGCAATTATATCAATACAATGAAGAAGACTTTTCGTTTAAGTTTTGATTGTTAACAAACTTTTTTCGAATTACAAGTTTACAAGTAAACAAAGAGAAGCTTTATAAATTAACATAAACATTGTATTGATATAATCGCCTACCACTGTATGTAATTGGAAAAGAGGTTTCAAGGTTGCCCACAAAGGAAAAGACTTTAGAGTCGATCCTGCATGGATAAGACTATATTCAAGGCAGAAGACAAAGCCTTCAGATCGTTAAAAATATGGGTCGTCGTTAAAGTCTCTCATCCTTTGTAGGTACCTCTGTATATCCAGGACTGTAGGTACCNGAATTTTCATCTTTCTGAAGTCAGAAATTAAGGAGAAAATAAAATCTTAGAACAAGAACAATACAGCTAGGGAGAACAAGAAAATTGTGGAATTTTCGTTATCTTTTTTTTTCTTTAAAAGAATGGTATTTTACTCAGGGTTTTGTCATATGAAACGAACATTTTTATTCCTAAAAAAGTGACCTGAGTTGAGATTTTAAACCCCTAAATCCGAGTAAACCTCGGTCTCAGCGTCTACTTAAAGACCCAAGTAAAGCGATCGTCTAGACTCGGGTTTTGGATGCCTTGGGTTTAGTAAAAACAATCGCTTTGGGGTTTTCGCTTTTGAAGGCTTGGGTCTTTAATAGTTGATGATCGTAAATTTCGTAAAAACTATTATTTTTTACATTTAAAACTTTGAGAATTATTTGTAGTGTAAATTTTCGAGATTTACAACTCCTTGTCACAGCTGATCTGTCTGCTACAGAGAGAAAGCTGTCTAAGCAGTCTCTCATTGGTCGAATCAGAACCAATCCTGACTTTGGGTTTACCTACGCTAGAGTCTTTCATTAATAAGCCGGGTTTTATTCAGGTTTATCAGAATCTCATTTTTAAAGTCAAAACTTTTTGTTGTTGTGAATCTCTGGATCAAGCATTGATCTCCTTTATACAGATCTAAGAATAAATTTAATTTCTATTAAATATTCTGTGGTGGTCATACCCTGCAGGGGTAACTTTAATACAGGGATCAAGCGTTAATCCACAATTGGATATCGAGATTAAACGTTCACCCAAAAGCTCCCACCTCTGAATATTTTAGAGATATATCAGTTAGTTGAATTATATAAAAATTAAAAAATCCTTGGCGACATTTCTTAAGTAAAACCACGAACAACGACGACATTAATTTCACAGTTGTCTTGCTCCCATTTTATCATCTCAAATTTGAAAACCAATAAACATTTTTTAAACACATCAATACACAATTTTAATGAATGGTCAAAAAAAAAAAAACTATATTCTTAAATAATTAAAAAATTCCATGCATTTCAAGAAAAAATATTTGTGTTGAAGAAGACGACTTTAATCGTACTTTTTTTCCTCACCCTGTATGTAACTGAAGAAAAAATTGACCTATAGGAAGAATCAGCTGGTCTAATTTTTACTCTCTAATTTTTTGAATTCTTGAAAGTAAGAACATCAAACCAAAACATAATAATTTTAAAATAAGGACCAATAAAGAAACTCAGTTTTCTGCCACAAGCTCAAATTTTCTAATTCCTACATCTTTGCAACCTGATGTTGTAAACCTTTAATATTTCAATCTGTTACTTTAAGATCTAACAGAATTTATTGTTTGACCAATCAAGTGTCTACGACGTTAAGTTGAATAAAAGAATTAAAGTTTGTGGAAAAAACTCGAAAAGTTTAAATATTTCCAAATTAATTAATTAATGTTTGAGGTGTTTACCACTGTGTGGTGTCAGGGTACAATAAGAATATCACGGTCCAGGTAACAAAATAAAAAGTTTAATTAATTAACAAAAAAGTTTTTCTAAATAATCAATTTTAGGTTCAACATGCACCTAGCGTTTTACCTCTACGAGAAACAGTAAAACAGGTTTTTAATTCAGTTAAATTTAGAAAATTAGATTTTTAAAAATATCATATTGTTTGTCTTTTTGAAGACTAAAATTACAAAAAATGTTCAGATTTTATGATTCTGTTTTTTCTTTGAGACAAAAATACGTGTTACAGTTTGAGAAAAAGTGGTTTAACCAGAAAATAGAATAATAAATGTCTTCTTTCTTTCTTTTAGATAAAAAATGTTTTATTTGTAATTGTTATGAATTATTTATGTCTAAAATGTTACAATTACAAAATCCTTAGCGACGTTTGATAATAAAAAGAAAAACCGAAGACAACAATCAGTCCACTGTTTTCTGGGGACCCCTGTACATTGTCTATGTTTGTTAGTATCCTGGGTTTTCTGTATCCATGAGCTGCAAGGTGACCAGCCTTCCTGTTCCACTGATAAGGTGGGTTGTAGGAATAAATTAAATGATTGAAATAAGTTTTAACTTGTGTTAACTTTGAATTATTTTTTAGATTTTTAGTCATTTGGTTTAAATATATATTTATTTACAGTCTCGTCGTTTATATCAATACAATGAAGACGACTTTCGATTTAAATTTTCGATTTCAAACTGCATGGATGCACATAAACATAAAAACAAAGAGATGTTGTCAATTAATAACTTCTCTTTGCCTACTTGTGAACTTGTAATTTGAAAAAAGTTTGTTGAAAATTGTTTGTATTGATACATGTATACAGTTAAACTTTAAATCATACAGGGTTATTCAAAATTAATCGGATTTTTGCGAAAATCTCAAATATCACAATCCGTTAGTTATACTTTGTTTTTGACTTTAAACTTTTGCATGTTAAAAATTCAGAAAATGAGTCGGCAAAAACTGCGAATAAATAATTTAGAAAATTAGCTCAGTTTTTTTTTTCTTCCGAAGTTTCTTTTTTTTAAAGGGACTGTAACCGTAATTTTAAGTGACCCTCCATACAAAGATATGATTAAAAAAAAATTTCAGTGCGATTTGTTTTAACAATTAAATATTGCAAAATTTCAACTTTAGAATAAAGATCGAAGTACATTTATTCATTTATTAAGTACAACTGTGTACTGTTGTAGTTGGATAGTTTGTTGTTTAAAACATAAGGCACAAATATAAGCAATATCCGATTTACAACGGTACCTTTAAATCCTAAAATGGATGAAAAATGTGGAAGATATCGTCATTTTTCTGACTCGAAAAGTGTTAATTTCTGGGAATTTTCTCATGATTTCTCATAAGCAAGAAATGCTGCCACTTTCGCAGAGAAATCGCAAATAATAAAATTAAAATATAATTCATACTTGGACAGACAAAGCTATTATAGGTACTGTTGTAAATCGGGAATTTTCATCTTTGCATGATGGGTCACTTGAAATAACGCTTACAGTCCCTTTAATAATATTGCTATTTAATTTTATCGTCTTATAATAAAATGTTTATGGCTCAATTTTAGAAGTAAAGGAATCAAGTCTTTGCCACAAATTCAGATTTTTAATCCCTATTTCTTTACAATCCAATTTCGTAGACCTTAGATATTTAATAGTATGAATTTTGATGGATCTACTAATTCAAATTTGAAATATGAAAGCTATACATCATCTGGTTGCAGAGATATCAGGACTAGAAAATTGAGATTTGTGGCAAGGACTTAATTCCTTTGTCATAAATTATAACATCCTCATGGACATTTTTAAATGGTAAAACCACTATATATATATACTAGAACACTTTGTACATAGATGGTACAAGATCCAAAGCAGTGCAGACGAGAGTACACCTGCAGTACAGTACATTCCTGTAATCATTCAGTCAAACAACAATATCTCAATACACCTAGATGACTATAAGGTAATAACATTTATAAATATAATTCTTGGACGCTTCGCTCCCCTCTTCAAAATTATAATTTTAGCTAGCTTAAAAACTTGTCATCTGAGAATTATTTATTACAAACACTTAGTCAAATTTTCCGATCGCTGTAAAGGAAAGAAAATGAAATTTAAAACTTTGGCAATTATAACTTTGTTGTAGACTTGGAGTACCCAGCGTTGTGCGTGGTATTAAGTTATGATTTAGTTGATGTGCCCGGCGTTGCCTACTACTTTGTATTTAGGAATATCGAGACTAATCTTCATTAGTTACAACTTACAATACAATTAAGTGGTTTCTGACGTGTCCAAATAGTAAAATTTAGCAAAAAACCTCTTCACATCTCTATAGTTCATAATATCTCTTTTAATACTGTGTGGAATATGAAAAACGGCTATTGGACTCAAGTCGTATATCTCTAGGATGGAATGATAATATCTCTTTTACTATCTGTGTAAGATATATCTCTAGGATGGAATGATAATATCTTTTGTACTATCTGTGTAACATATATCTCTAGGATGGAATGATTATATCTCGACTACAGTTCCTGTCAGTGTCAGCTCAAGATTACGGAACATATTCATGCAATGCATCAAACTTATTGGGGAAGGTAACATTTTTTACAACAATAATGATAAAAATGATATTTAATAATTATAATAAACAGAGTTCATCTCTCATTCCATCATATAGTTCTCTACTCATCCTTGTTCATCTCTCATCCCAACATATAGTTCATTTATACAAATCCTTCTTTTCATCCTCATCCTTGCAGACTAAACATTCCTCATCCCAACATCTTACCGATCCTAGTGTTCATCCCCATCCTTACCCACTCATTATTTTTCATCCTTCATCCATACAAACTAACTATAAAATGTACTTTCTGTTATTTATCCGTTGCGTAAAATCTCGTCCAAACGTTTTTTTTTTCATAAAATCAGAGTTTTAATTTAAAATCAAGTATTCAATTTTAGATGAATTGTTTTATTTCACTACAATTATAACACATTTATGCCGCTAAAAAAATTGCATTTTTTGAATACATAAGAATATAAAAATCTAACGTACATGAATGTATATGTACATGTGGAATAGACTAAAATTTTACCAATGTTAATAAAAAAATTCCTTAAATTATACTTTTTGCATTATATGTAACTTTCATATTTTTTTTAAAAACATATTTTAAGAAAAAGATTTTTTTAAAAATATTTTGACAACCTTTTTAACAAAGAAGCGAATTTGTTGTGATTCTTTCAAATCTAATGGACAAAGTCAAATTTGAATTGACCAAATGTGAGGCTCGGAGTAGGAATTTATGTGGCTCCATAACCGGTAACTTTTTCTCGCTCATTACAGTGCAATATTTGCCTACTTTGAAAATAATTTTTTTTGAAATTCCTAAATTTGTATTTGAATGGAAATCCTAAATTTTTATTAATTCCTAAATTTGTATTTGAATGAAACTCCTAGTATCCTAGTATGTCCTGAAATATTATGTATTTAATTATGTAGTAAATCCAGTATTTAATAATTTATGTTAATTGATTATTCTAAAGTCAAACAAAAAGCCAAAGTAATTTGTATTCTAAATGTATAAATATTGCGAAATAAATATTTTTTACAAATAATGAATTTTTATAATTGAAATTTACAACATAAAATATTTTTTTTCAAGAGAAAATGATGGTTAATATTATTTTACATCTCAGGAACGTCCTTCAGCGATAAATCAATTCCCACAAATTGAGCATGATTTATTTTTAAAAGGTGAAAACTACATTTAAAGGGACCCTTGATATTTCAAACTTAGGCTATGATCTAAAAGAATTCATAGTTTGAAATACCTAACGTCTACGAAATTGGGTTGCAAAGATATAGGTATTAGAAAATCAGAGTTTGTGACAAAGACTCAATTCCTGATTATGATTATTATTAAAACAAAAAATCGTTATTATTTTTTGAAATATAGAATTTCAAATCACCCACTTTTTTGTCCAGTGATGAATTATTTGAAATTTAGTTGACGATCCTTTTAANTTACTTTATTTTGGCGTGGTCGGATATTCTTGTTATTTTAGGTTAAAAGTGTTTAATTCTGATAATTCCTTTATTTTTTCATGCAGTAAAAATCCGCAAGTCACTTTGGTATAGAGAATCCGCAATTAAAAATAATCTTTTTTTAAAAATAAAAAACGTTTATATTTAATTCATACTTTCTTACATTCACACTAAGTCAAAGCTTGTGACTCGGACATTGTCATGTTTGCATTGAGGGTCACTTGAAATTACGCAATAACTGTTCCTTTGATTAAGGTTTGTCGGTTAATGCCCCTGAATGGCAAAAAATGTAAATTACCATTTAAAAAAAACTTGAAAGTTTTTGTTAGACCAGATGAAATTAACTTTTTTTTAGAATATAGTACAAAGGAATTGAGTCTTTGCCACAAACTTAAATATGTTAACAACCCAATGTTGTAGACCTTTGATATTTCAAACTATTGTTTGTGATATCTGAATGATTTATTTGGAATTAAATTGATTATTTTACGATCCGAGTTAAATGTTGCAACTTTCCAAATTTGTATGGACGCTACTTTCTTTAGCATGAGTCGTTTTTAACAATTATCTCCTTATAGACGCATCAGATAGAATTAAGATTAGTAGCGATCAAAAGCGCTTATTTTTCACCGTAAGCCTATACCCCCTTTCATTTTTCGCGAACACTCCCTTTAAGGGGAAAATGAATCATCCATAACCTAAACGAGTGATCAGTTATTTAAAATTCAAAAATAGAGAGATAGAAAGATAGATGCTTCTAAGCATTCCATATGTAAATATATATTTATTTATTTATATAAAAATATATTAAATACAGCTTTGAGTTGTATTCTACAGTGTGCTGTTAAATCACATGACCAAGAAACATGCTGCAAATCTAGTGTTCAGTTTTACACTTGAATCTTTTCACATACATACCAGCTTTTCATATTTAATAAATATTCAAGTGAACAATATGTCTCTTTTTCTCAAAATAAAATTGTTTCAATCTTGTTCTATATAAAACTCACTCCCAAACTCTAGTTTATTAGAGCGTAATTTAACTTTATTCTGCGCAAAAAAGAAGAAAATTTAACATAAAAAATAGTGTCGAAACAGCAAAAGCAAATTTTACAATATTGAGAGAAAGATTGATTTATAATTCCAATTTTATGTTGTTTTAACTTTTATAATGTGGTCGTACATTTGTCTTATTAAAGGGAGTGATCAGCAAACGGAAAGGGTTTTTGAGGTGTAAGCGCTGTACTTTGTAGGCATTAGGATTTTCTCATTAGTGATAAAGTGTTCCCACCAAAGTCAATAAATTTAAGGGGGGTTGCGCGTGTTATCTATTTTTTGTCTTGAATATAAAAGTTCTACGAAATCAAGTTGTAAAATTAAAAGGATTAGAAAATTGAAGTTTAAAGGGACTGTGTCCTTTTAATTTCAAATGACCCCTCATTTAACGAGAGGCATATCTGATAAACAACTCTATGAACCCCTAATCCGATCCATTGGAAGAAAACGTCGTCCTTTTAGTGATTAATTCTGATAATTTCTAAAGCAAAAATGACGTGAAATTACTAAGATTTTAAGGGTATCGTTGTGAATCGGACATGGCTATTTATCAGTTTAGGGCACTTAAACACTTTTAGAGCAAAAATCAAATATTATAAGATATCTTAAAATAATAGTATATGTTTGAGTTCAAAGGACTGAGGAGTTTAAGAATTAGGACAAAGGTTCATTGCTTTCCGTTATTGAGAGTTACATATATTTATATACATAGTAGGTTTAGAGGCAGTTCATTCTTAACTCTAACAGTTGTGAGATCTAGACATATTAGGGACTGTCAACGTAAA